CGGGGGGATGGGGTCTCTGATGGGGGGAGCCTGGGGATGAGTCTGGCTGAGGCTGTGGGGGGGATTGGGTCTCTGATGTGGGGGTACTATCGTGTCTGCTGGAGGAGATGTGGGGGTTGTCTGGGGCTGACAGTAACGTCTCCTCCTTGCCTTCTCCCTCCCCCGCCCCGGCCTGCAGACTCGATCCCCTTGCGCCGCAGCGTCTGCTCCCCCATCTTCCTGTGGAGCCTGATCCCCATGGGCATGACCCAGCTGCGCGTCATCTTCTACATGGCAGCGATGAACAAGATGCTGGAGTTCCAGGTGACGGGCGGCAGCCCGGACGGTGAGGGCCCGGTGGGGAGCGTCTCCTGGATCCACTGGTTCTGCTCCATGCCCAGCCTCTCACCAGTCCCTGGCCCCCAAGGCCGCACCCAGTTCCACAGGGGCAGGGTCATGGCCTCTAGGGCCCCAGCGATCCCTGTCTGTCTCCTCGGCTCCCGGGAGGTTTGTGCCCTTTGGGGCGCTGCACTGTCAGGGGTATCTGCAGCGGCAGCCTTCCCAGACACGGGGGAACATTAGCCGCCTGGCCCACGGCGTCGGAAAGGCCTTGGGTTAGCACAGAGAGGCAAAGGTTGGGCCATAGTCCAGCCTGGCCAGCCCCGGTGCAATTAGCCAGCCAAGACGTTATGGTCTCTATCTCCATCTGGCTCCTTGTCAGCCCCGAGGCCTGGCCACCGGCCTCCTTTCCCCTTTGTTCTCCCGCTGGGGCCTTGGAGCTGCTTCTCGGCTGAGGGCTGGGAATGTCTCCTTCCTCCTGGCTGGTGGCTGCTAGGGGTGAACGGCCCGGCCGTTGGGGTTCCCGCTCTCTTGCTGGATTCTCCATTGATGTGGGTTGGTTTACGCTAGTCCTTTGCCGACCCTTCTTCCACCCCAGCCAGCCACGGGGGACACACACCTCGCGGCTCGTGCTCTGCCCCAAGAACAGCTGGTTAACCCTTTGCACTCGTGTGCAGAGCAGTGCAAAGCACAGAGGGAAACTGAGTCACGCATGCGCCTCATAAACATAGTACCAAAATTCCCACTTAGTCACAAGGGGACATAGGCCAGGAGGGGGCATTGGGTGGGGTCCTGCTCTCACGGACCCACAGGGTGTGTACTGTGCCCTGGTGTTTCCCCTGCCCCTTGGAGGAGCCCCACAGAGGGCCCCGCTCTTCCTTAAGGGCAGTCACGCGGCCTCCCCGCCTCTGGGCTCCACCGCGAGCTCTGTCCAGCGATGCCAAGCGAGGCAGGCTCCTGGCCACAGACTCACCCGCTCTTCGTGCCAATGTGATTTTCAGCACAAACCTGCCCTAACTCAGCCCGGCCGGCTGTCAATCTGTCGTCCAAGGGCTGAGTTTGCCCATCCGCCTGCAGGAGGGTCCCAATGATCGCCTGGGGCTCCCACTGGTTTTATGGACCCTCCATCCAGGCCCCAGACTGTTACGGGACCCAACACCTCCTGCCCCCAGAACCGCTTTTAATCCTTTTGTGCCCACAAGTAGCAAGGCAAAGTACAGAGGGAAACTGAGTAATGCATCAAAATATCTCAGAAAATCATCACTTCCTCACAGGAGGGCATAGGGCATCAGGGGAAGCTGTGTGTGTGTGGGTGGGGGAGCTGTGTGTGTGGGTAGGTTAGGGTGGGAGGGGGAGACCGAGGAGAGCGTGGGGGTGGGGGTTGGGGGGAGCTGGGGTAGGAGGGGGGAGGCAGAGGCCAGCAGGAGGAGCTGGGTGTGGGTGTGGGGGGGCGAAGGTGTTGGAGGGACATAGGCTAGAATGGGGGTGGGGACCTTCTTTCCAGGCCCTTTATCCCTTGTCTGTGTCTCTGTCCCCCCCGTTGACCGCAGTGCCGGAGGAGCTGATGGAGAAGGCTGAGGACACAGGTAGGAGCAGCTAGGGGATAGCCGAGGCCAGCCCTGCCCCCTGCCCTTCCAGCACTGCTAGCTACGGCAATGTCCGGAGCTGCCAAGAGACTAGGGAGCCCCGGTCCCCTATGGGGCAGGAAGTGGGAGTGGGGTCTCCCACATGCAGTGGCCGATGGAGCGATGCCCTCCCCAGGCGCTGTGCTCTCCGCTGTAGGGCAGAGGGATGGGGCCTGGGTGTAGGGTTCTCCCCTTGATGGGGAAGGGCATGGGCATAAGGCTCTCCTCCCTGATCAGGGTCTGGGGGTGGGGACTGGGCACAGGGGTCTCTGCTCTGATGGGGGTGGGGACAGGGCCTGGGAGTCTCCCCGGCAGTGGGGTTGGGGACGGGGCCTGGGCACCGGGTTCTCACCCTCTCCCCGACGGACAGTTGGGTTCTACGCCTCCATCTTCGGGGTCATGCAGCTGCTCTGCCTCGTAACCTGCCCCTTCATCGGCTACGTGATGGACTGGCGCATGAAGGACTGTGTGGACGGGCCGCTGGGCACGGGCGCCACCATGGCAGCTGGGTGAGAGTGTGTGTCCGGGGCACGGATCCAGCTTGTGGGCCTGGGGGGGCAAATCCTGGTGCTGGTGCCCCGGGTCGCGGACCCCGCTGGGGGGACTGGGGTGTGTGTGTGAATCCTGGTGCTCATGCCCCGGGGCGCGGACCCCGCTGGGCTGGCTGGTGACTCTTCCCCCTGCCGTTCCCAGGGCCGGGGCTGAGAAGTCACCTGCTAGGCCCCGTTACCGCAAGATCCAGAAGCTCACCAACGCCATCCGGGCCTTCACCTTCACCAACCTGCTGCTGATGGGCTTCGGGGTCACCTGCCTCATCAATAACCTACCTCTGCAGGTACCGCCGGCCCCCTGCTCCGCTCCCCCGCGGTGCCCCAGGCGGGTGCCGCCCCTGGCCCGCTCCCCCTTGCCCCATGGCCCGCCAGAGCTGGTGCCGCCCTGAGTCTCCTGTCCTTTCCCATGTGCCCCAGGCCCAATGGTCATTGTCTGCTGCTGATCCCCCGTGGTGCCCCCCCACATCCTGATGCCCCCGTCTCTTCTCTCTGCAGTTTTTGACCTTTGTCCTTCACACCATGGTACGAGGCTTTTTCCACTCCGCCTGTGGGGGTCTCTACGCCGCTGTGTGAGTCCCCCCCCCCACGCTTGCCCCATCCTTCCTGCGTGCCCCTGCCACACTCAGAGCCCGGAGCGCTGGCTGGGGATGCCCACAGGGGCGTGACCCAGCAGCCGGGGACCCCTTAATCTTCCTGGGGGGCCAAGCCCAGCTGGCCAAGGCTGATGGAGTTGGGTGAGGGTCAGTCCTTTTTGATGGCCAAATATATGGGGGGAGGGGTACACACCAGCTGGGATGTGGGGCAGGCGGGAGGGGAGATGGGGGGTTGCCCCCTCGATCCCACTCGTTCTCCTGTCTGCTGGGGCCATGGCAGAGGTTTGGGGTCACTAATCAAGGGGAGGTGGGGGGGGGGCTCACTCCTAGGACTTTGGTGGGGGTGGAGCCTGGTTACCTGGAGGGGTGCCAGGTGGGCAGAGCCCTCATTGGCCGCTTGGCCTGTGGTTGACAGGTACCCGTCCAGTCACTTCGGCACTCTAACTGGCCTGCAGTCGCTGATCAGCGCCATCTTTGCTCTGCTGCAACAGCCGCTCTTCATGGTCATGGTGGGGCCCCTGGCCGGCGACCCCTTCTGGGTAAGTGAAAGGGCCGTGACCCCGGGCCAACCCTATCCCGGGATCCCCTCCCCACAGACCTCAGTCTGGGGAGCCCCCGCCCCCACCCCGTGGAGCTAGCATATGGCAAGGGGCGGGGCAATACCAGTGCCTGACTCCGCCCCCAAGGTCTAGCATATGGCAAGGGGCGGGGCAATACCAGTGCCTGACTCCGCCCCAAGGTCTTAGACTCGGCCCCGCTCCGGGGCTGATCCACCAAGGGGTGAGGGGGGCTGGAGTGGGGAGGATGGATCTGATGCCCCTTCCCCTGGCTGGGCAGGGGGCTCTGCGGAGGCCTCTGGCCCCGTTAGACCAGAGGTTGCCATTTGTCCCAGTTGAATGCGTTAGCTGACATTGGAGAGATGAGGGGTGGGGCTAGACCCAGGCTCCTCCTACCATCCTGAAAGGGGTCACAGGGACCTCCCTGCCCTTGGAGAAAGGAGCATCTTTTGGTATACCGGGGGGAAGGAACAGGCTGGCTCAGGGAAGAGGGGAATGGGACATAGGGCCTTTCCCCTCTAGGGGGCGCTGGCTCTGATCTGACCCCAGGATGGGGTCACTGACTGGCTCGGGGGCGGGGGGGAGTGGGAGTCTTTCCCCTCTAGGAAGCGCTGGTCCCTGCGCCTGGCTGACTTGGGGAGTGGGACAGTCCCTGGTGGGGCAGGTGCAGATTGGCAAAGCTGCCCAGTTGGCACTAAAAAGGTCTTGGAGTCCGAGCTCGTTGCCCCCCCGGGGGAGGAGTGCAGGGCTGTGGAGCGGGCCCCTTTCCCAGCATGCTGTGCGGTTAATAGGGGGTGGAGAAGGAACATATTTTGGTGGCTGAATCACTGAGTGGGTAGCTCAGCTGTGAGATGAAATCACTGATTTCCCCCCCTCCAAATCTCTCCCACTTGCCTTGCATCCCCCCCCCCCCCGCAGGTCAATTTTGGCCTCCTGATCTTCTCTCTCCTGGGCTTCCTGCTGCCCTTCTACCTCTGCTACTTCCGGCGCGCCCTGCTCCGGGATCAGCCGGCGCTGGGAGAGATCCCGGACCTGGCGGAGGGCGCCCAAGTCAAACTCCAGGACGGCGTGGCCCTCAATGGCATGCTGAGTGCTGACGACACTGCGGCATAGGGGGGGGGCTGGAGAACGGGGGGGGGGGGGAGCGTGGGTGACATAGAACAAAATGCCAGATCCGCTCATCAGACGATTGCCGAACAGATGGGATGAGACACTAAGAGCAGGAAAAAGAAACACTTGTAGGTTTCAATACGCGGGAGCCATGGAAATAACCGAGCTGCATCGAATTTCTAATAGTTTTTTTTATTATATATCGAGAGAGAGAGCGAGAGAGAGAGAGCTATATATTTTTGCAGGGAACTTTATAAAGCTCTATGCTGTAAATAACTAACCAAAGATCGGGGTGCGCTCCTAAGCCCCAAGTCAGGACGCGCCCTTCCCATAAAGATCTGCTGGTGCCGGATCAGGGCATTCAGGATAATCATTTCTAGCACTTACCTAGCCACTTTCATCTGTCAAACTGTGGTGGGTGAGTATCAGAATTCCCCACACACACACCATGTTCTAGATGGGGAAACTGCCTAGCTGCCAAGTCCTGGGTTTGAATCGTAACTTCCCCCTCCCTGCCCTGCCTGACTGAGCCTTTGCCTATCAGCTAACATGGAGGGGTCAAACTTTCCTCACCCTGCTAGGACGTCCCTCGTTGGCCCACGCTGGGTTGTCGATAAAGTTTCCTTTAAAACAAATGAAAGGAAGTATTTCTCCACACAGTCAGCCTAGTGGAACTCTTTGCCGGAGGATGTTGTGAAGGCCAAGACTAACAGGGGTTAAAAAAAGAACTAGATAAGTTTATGGAGGATAGGTCCATCAATGGCTATTAGCCAGGATGGGCAGGGATGGTGTCCCTAGCCTCTGTTTGCCAGAAGCGAGCGACAGGGGATGGATCACTTGATGATTCTCTGTTCTGTTCACTCCCTCTGTGGCACCTGACTTCGGCTACTGTCGACAGACAGGATACTGGGCTAGATGGACCTTTGGTCTGACCCTTACGGCCGTTCTTATATTCTCTTTTAGCATGTCCTGTCTGCCAACGCTGGGATGTCGATAAATTTTCTTTCTCTTCTAGGACATCCCCTATCTGGCAATATGAGGTGTTGATTAAGTTTCCCCTCCCTTCTCAGGCCGCCCCACACCAAGATACCCTCTATCTGCTAACTCTGGGATGTCAATCAAGTTTCCTTCTGTTATAGACACTCTCTGTCTCCTGACACTGGGTTGTTGATCCAGTTTCCCCTCCCCTATTTTATAAGCTGTGTATGGTGGCGTGGATCCCACCCTACCCCACCCCAGCAGAACCAGGCCCTGGGAGGTGTCTGGGGCGAGTGGCTGCCGGGGGCGTATTTCTCAGGTGCTCCGATTGGTCTCTTATTTGGGAGGGCGCAAACGTGCATGTCCACAAATGGTACTAAGGGTGGGTCCGATCCGACCGTGAGTTCTGAGTCTGGCTGTGGACCTCTTGGGGAATGGGTGCAAGGGCTGGGAGGGAGGTGCTTGAAATCACATCTGTCATTCCAGGCAGCGCGGGGAGCAACCGCAGTTGGCCACTTTCCAGTGACATCGTTGCATCCATTCTCGGTGGTGTTGCCCCCCCCCTTCCCGGGGACCAGCAAAGGGGTTGCCCAGGAAGGGGTGGGAATGGGCCCCTGCCCCCTCCTCTCTGTAAGCCCCTCTCTCTCCCCGCCCCCGTTGCCGGTGCTCCCCAGCCAGTGGGGGATTTAATTTATTGTTCTGTTCGTATGTTTCAGAGGAAATAAAAAGGCAAATATAAGGCCTGGTAGTGATTGTGTCTAGGGGATCTGGGCCCCACCCAGTGATATCCCAGCTCTCTTGGGGCTTCCAGGAATCTCAGGACAAGGCCTTTCAGGAGGTGTCATCTCAAGTCTTGCCCCAGATCAAAAACGGGCCAAGAGGCAAGAATCAGAGAGCAAGATCAGCCAGGCAGGTTCCATCCTGGCAGAGGGTTAATGCCAGGTCTGCCGGCTCTGCACGGGTTCCCGTGTCTAAGCTCTTTGTGTGCTGGCAGAGAAGGTGAGTGGCAAAGCGGCAGCAGCTGCAACGGAGAGCACACCCAGTGTGGGAGGTCAGTCAAGGTGTAGCGAGGGAGCCCAGCAGGAGTGCTGCCAGTTTTTCTGCCACCCTAGGTGGCGGAAGGTCCCGCCCTGAAATGCTGCCCCCCACAGAGGCAGCGGAAGCTCCCGCCACCGAAATACCGCCGCGGTCACCGCCCCCCAGATTGTAGCGCCCTAGGCGACCGCCTGAGTTGCCTAATGGATTTCGCCGGCCCTGGAGCCCAGAGGGACAGGAACGGGTAGCATGCCGGGAGCTGGAATTCAGTGTCTGCCCAATGCAAGGAGATGGAAGAATTTGAACCCCGCGTCCCACCTGACAGGGGTCTGAAATAACCATTGCAGCTCAGAAACGGGCCTGGGTGTCGTTGCAGACAGGTCAGTGGAGAGCTCTGCTCAATGTGCAGCCACTGTCAGAGCAGCAAAGCTGCGAGGATGCCGAAGGAACGAGATGGTGAATAATCGTGAGGATATTATAGCGCTTTCATGTCAGTGGATGGCGCAGTCTCCTCCGGACCCCATGCGCCGCACAAGTCGGCCCATCTCCAGCAGGATGGTGCGGATCTTGAGGGGTTCAAAGAAGGGTGACCAGAATGATCCGGGGGCCTGGAAACGTGCTCCAGCGCTGAGAGATTGAAAAGATGGGGGATTGTTACCTGAGAGGGGACGTGGGCGGGGACGGGATGGAAGTCTATAAAATACCAAAGGGAGAGCTGGAGACGTGGAAAGGGGGCAAATTCCCACCACAAGAGTGGAAAGGCTTATTTAATACAACACACCGTTAACCGGGGGAACTGCCTGCCACAAGATTGCAGTGAGGCCAAGAGCAGGGCTCCAAAGAGGGACTGGCCATTTCTGTGGGTAACAAGACTAGGCTGAGTTTTAGTGAATGCTGTCTGCATTGGGGCAGGGATATTAGAGCTCCGGCTGTGAGGTTTAAGCCAATCTCTGATTACTAGTGATGAGGATGAGACCATGTGTGTGTGTGTCAGATTATCCCACATCGGACCCTGCGGGGTTCTTACATTTTCCAGGGCAGCCGCTGGTTCCCACTACTATTAGAGACGGGAAACCGGGCTAGATGGCCCTGGGCCCTGCTTCGGTCTGCTGGGCTCCGTGTCCTCCATGGTGACTGGCCGTACCACTTGCTGCAGCCTCATGCCACCCTGTGATCACCCAGTCAGAACAGGGTTGGGTCTGGTTAGTGCTGGGAGGGGCGTGTGGTGGGTGCTGTCCCTTCGCAGTCAGTGCCGGCTCCAATGCCCCAGCGTGGTGCTAGGGGGCGCTGTGCTGCAGGGAGCACAGGTGGGGTGTCACGGATCTACAGGTTCTGTGCCACGCCCTGGCCTGGAAGCCCTCCCTTGGGAAGATGCTGTCAGCACGCCAGGTCCCCAAAGGGTCAGACCTTTCCACCAGGACAGGCCACGTGGCTTCAACGCCTCCAAGACCGAGCCTCTGGGCTCCAGCCCTCCTCCTTCACCCCGCGAACTGCGTCCAGTTGAGTCAGACGCCTGGCCAGTGACCAGCGCGCCTCGACACTTACTGCGGTGACCGCAGCCGCCATCTCCAGGGTCAGCTGGCCCCCCGCGTGGGGCAGCCGGTGAGACAGAGCTCAGCCTGGTCCACGCCGTGCTGCTCTAGGAACCGTCCTTGGCTTCCTGGCTTCAGCTCGGTCCCAGGGGAGAGCGCCAGTGTCTTTGGGAGGCCAATACTCACCACAGGTTCCTGCTCCCGCGCTGATCTGGACGGCACCGGGCTTCGCTGACACGTTCAGCTGCCACTGCAGGGAGGCGTTCAGCTTCACTTGCCGGGAGCGGCGTGTGCAGCAAAACACCTGGCCACCGCGGCTCTTTGGTGGTGGTGGGGGGGGTCGTTGGGGTTGCCATTGTCTCTGTAGGCGCTGCCAGTGATTGGCGCTGGTGCCAGTCTGCCCTTAACAAGACCTTCAGATCACCCCATGCACTTACACGTGCCAAACGCCTCGGGTCTCCTGCGCTTTACACTCCGTGCATAGCCGCACGGAGCACCAAGGGAAACTGAGGCACGCATTGAGTCATACAAATATGACAAAAATTCCTATATTTGTCATAGGGGGCTCAGTAGGGGGCACTCTTCCCTCCCACTCCAGGCCGGCCCCAATGCCCTACTGGGGTGCTGGCCATGCCATTCTACAAAGAGCAGGGTATGGGCTTTGTAGGGCTTGATCTCGCCTCACAGCCCATGCAGCCCCCAATGCCCCAGGACAGCACTAGGGGGCGCTGTGCTGCAGGGAGTGGGTTGGGGGGACTAGATAGCAGGTGCTCTTCCCTCACAGCGCTGACCCCAATGTGGCATTAGGGGGCTCTGTGCCGTTTTAGGTTCTAGCTTTCAGATGAGCCTGAAAAATGAGCCCTGGCCTAGTGCAATAATGGAAGAGCCTGTTGCACTTTCCAAAAGCACAGGGGCATTTCCGCGCTGTCCCCCCCAAACTCCAGCCCTGTCTTCACCTTCTGCCTCCCCTCACTGCCCCCTGGCCCTGGAGTTTCATTTGGGCAGCCCTTTGGTCTGTTTTTTGGCCTAAATGCTTCTGCTGTGGTGTTAATAACAGCTGCTGCGCCTCCCCCCAGAGGTGGCTGCATTTGCGTGCCAAGGGCGTGCGGCCTCTGGAAAGTGCTGTGGGGGATCCTTCGGCCTGCAGTATCAGTGACACGGATGTTATTGCCCCATCCCCTTTGGGGTCTGGCCCTCTTGGTGGAGCTGAAGCCCAGCCCCACGTGATTGCCCAAAGTTGGGGTTGTGTTTAGGGGCTCTGTCCCCCGTTGCTGTCCCCTCAATATCTTGGCAGCTGCAGTGCGCTCCCAGCCATGATAGGCGCGGCATCCGGATCCCACTCTGCCGCACGGTGGGCTGCGTCTCTCAGGGCCAGGGACCCGCCGGCAAGCACGATGGGCCTGCCAGCCGAGGGCGAGGCTTGCCAGCAGGCAGGGTAAGGGAAGGAGCGGGGTGGGGGGAGTAAGGCTTCTGGCAGGGCAAGGTAGGGGGCTCCCTCCTGAGCTGAGACTTCTGGGAGGGGGTGAGTAGAGGGGCTTATGGCTGGGGGGCAAGGGGAAGTGGAGGGTGAGGCTCCAACCACAGGGGTCTGTGTCAGGGTGCAGCCGCCAGCCTCTGTCTCCCCAAGCTCTGTGGGGAAATCCCAGCACCTGTGCCAGCCGTGGCGACTCTGGTGGGTCCAGCCACCCCCGCAGCTACACACACGCACTGGTGCCCTTGTGTATCCGTAGTGGCCAGCTGCAGCAGGGCCGGGGCTGGGGTCAGTCACCTATTCGCCTGTGCACACTGTGTGGGGTCCCTGGCCCCTTCCTTCCCCTACGCAGGCCCCAACTGCTGGATGCCAGATGCGGGGGGCCGGGGTCTCTCTTTCACATACTCTCACGCTCTCTCTCCTGCAATGCAAAGCCAGGCTGGACCGTGCCTGGTCAGAGCAGCCGAACCCTGCAGGAAGATCCAGGTTAACAGCAGGAGTTTTGCCTAGGGGGAGGGAGGGGAGAATTTCCTTCGTTTTTCTTCTTTTTTCCCCAAATCAAAGGAGAATTCAGTGAGGTAACACCAGCCGTGCCCTCGGCCCAGTGACCCGAACAGTCAGCCCTTAGTAGGGTTTCAGCATATTTCCCTGTGCTGAATACCAGACACCTGGAAACATTATTCGTCTTCAAGCGAGTTCAACAGTAATCGATCACAACTATGCAGTACAAAC